GCTGCAGTCCTCCTGGAGTGATGGGTCTGTTGGAGCAGTGATTCTGTAGATCTGGTCTTCACCTGAAGGTTCAGTGGCAGCTCTTGTCCTCTGGGAATCCAGCAGGCAGAGGGGCTCTGTGCTGGTCCAAACCCCAGTTTATATCCCTGTGGGAATACTTGGCTCCCCCCTGGGGTGAAGCATCTCACAATGGGAGGATGTAATTCTATGGGTCATGCATAGGTCCCAGACAGCCCATTAAACAGAGACAGCCTCCTGGGGGAGCCATCAGGGAGAGGAGATAATGATCACTGCCCCCACCTGCTTTAACAGCTTGTGAAGATGATAATAGAATACATACCCTAATAGAATACATACCCTAATAGAATACATACCACCCTACATTGTAACCTAGGACAAACCTGTAGCTATGGCCACTGTGGAACTGCAAAAATACTGCTCTTATTGCAGGCAGAAAAAGCAAATGCAGAAGAACAATGGTGGAAAGGCTGTGGATGAGCGACTTTTATTTCACGGGACCAGTAAAAAATACGTTGATGCCATCTGTCAGCAGAACTTTGACTGGAGAGTCTGTGACCTTCATGGAACAGTCTACGGCAAAGGTGGTTTTTCAGCTCTTTGATTAATCCTAGGCTTGCTAAAACGTGCTCAGTACTTACTGCAGAGGTGTAGAGTTAAAAACAGAGCACTCAGCTGACTGGGCTAGGGCTGCTTTTTGTGGTGATGTGGGTGGGCAACATAGCTGACCTTGGCAATGGTCATTTGGAGCAAAGGCAGACTGAGAGGCCTTGGCCTCTGTGCTACACTCAGTCCTTGCAAGAATCAGAATCATAGAGTGTTAAGGGGTTGGAATGGACCTTACAGATCATCCAGCCCCAACCCCCTGCCCTGGGCAGGGACACCTCCCACCACACCAGGTTGCTCAAGGCTTCATCCAACCTGGCTGTGAATACTGCCAGGGTTGGGGCATACACAGCCTCCCTGGAAAATGTTATCAGTTTCTTTATTATTTTAAACACTGCCGGGGTTGTGGTATCCACAACCTCCCTGGGCAACCTGTGCCAGTATCTCACCACCCTCACAGGAAAAGAGAGTCCCTCTCCAGCTTCCCTGGAGCCCCTTCAGATCCTGGAATTTTGCTCTGAGGTCTCCACACAGCCTTCTCCAGGCTGTACAGCCCCAACTCCCTCAGCCTGAAGTTGGGTGAGATTGGGGAAGGTGAACATCTAGGGTCAGTTGGAAAACTTTTCGAGGAACATCATAACATGTAAGGCATTACTTGGATGGGTTTTAATATTTGTGCTGTGAAAAATAAAAAGTGTAGTTAAGGCATAGTGGTCATTTTCACTAAGAGAGACATCCAGGACCCAAGAAGGCTTTGGGAAGGGTCTTCTTGAACTGCTGAAGGGGTTTGTTTATTAGTTTCTTCCCAGTAATTTTGGTGCCTTATCAACTGTGTCTTGCTGTCTCTTCTGCAGGAAGCTATTTTGCAAGGGATGCATCTTATTCTGACAGATACTGTGAGAAAAACTCACACACCAAGTCCATGTTTCTGGCACGAGTGCTGGTGGGGGAGTTCATCCTTGGGAGTTCTGATTATGTTAAACCTCCCATGAAGAACAACCAAAAGTTCTACGACAGTTGTGTGAATGATTTTCTTAACCCTTCTATCTTTGTCATCTTTGAGAAGCATCAGATTTATCCTGAGTATGTCATAGAATATTAGGCAACAGCAAAAATGCTCTAGCAGCAGAACCTGTCACTCTTATGTTTAACTACTATAAACAGGTTTTTAGCATTAGCTTAAGGGAGAAAAAGTGATTTATTGTTGCATAATCAGATAGGTGAGTGTTGAGAAACATATTCTCTAGCCTTTCTGTGCAATAGAAAGCAGGGGGTAAAAAGACAATGTTTTAGAGTTCCTAAAACCCTGTGCCTGT